TCTTTGATCAGGGGACAACAGTGGTTGATAACCTGTTGAACAGTGAGGATGTCCACTACATGCTCGGGGCCTTGAAGACTCTTGGGCTCTCTGTCGAAGCCGACAAAGCTGCCAAAAGAGCTGTAGTTGTTGGCTGTGGTGGAAAGTTCCCAGTTGAGGACGCTAAAGAGGAAGTGCAGCTCTTCTTGGGGAATGCCGGAACTGCAATGCGGCCATTGACAGCAGCTGTTACTGCTGCTGGCGGAAATGCAACGTATGTTTTTATTCTCTCTACAGTGATTGTTGAAGTTAGTATGAAGTCCATGGGTATGTCCAGTGGCTTATGGTGTATTGGTTTTTGGACTTCAGTTATGTCCTTGATGGAGTACCAAGAATGAGGGAGAGACCCATTGGTGACTTGGTTGTTGGATTGAAGCAGCTTGGTGCGGATGTTGATTGTTTCCTTGGCACTGACTGCCCACCTGTTCGTGTCAATGGAATTGGAGGGCTACCTGGCGGCAAGGTTAGTTACTAAGGGTCACATGCTACATTATTCTGAAAATAGTACAACTCTTGTTGCTTTTGCATTTGTAAGGAAAGCATAGATTGATCTGAATTTCACTCTACACCACAAAATAACCTACACATGGTCATCCCTAACTAGTAAAGCATGTTCTCGTTGAACTCAATAAAGTAATACTTGGTATGTGTTTAGCAACTTAGTTTCCATCTTCTGGGGTATTTCCTGTTTTCTAGTATAATATTATGTGTTTTTAGCATGATTTATCTCTCACAACTGTTATTTTCTACAGGTCAAGCTCTCTGGCTCCATCAGCAGCCAATACTTGAGTGCCTTGCTGATGGCTGCTCCTTTGGCTCTTGGGGATGTGGAGATTGAAATCATTGATAAATTAATCTCCATTCCCTATGTTGAAATGACATTGAGATTGATGGAGCGTTTTGGCGTGAAAGCAGAGCACTCTGATAGCTGGGACAGATTCTACATTAAGGGAGGTCAAAAATACAAGTAAGTTATGTAATTTATTTCACTACTTTGATGTCAACGATTCAGTTTTCAGTTTGCCAAACAGATGCATCCATATTTGAATGTATGCACCATAGGCGAAAATCGTTGCAGGGTAAAAAAACTAGTACTGACGATTGACTGTGTAAATTACTTAAAAATATGGCCAGTCTATTGGAGTGAAGAACGCGAACCGAAATAGCCAAGCAATGCCTAGTTGGTAATCACCTAATTAAGATACATTATAGAGGGACAACCATGCAGACTGTTGATAGCACCAGAGGTAGCATCCTCTTGAAACTTGGTTTCTAAGAGAATCTAGGTAGCTGGACTCGTTGCTGCTTTTTTTTTAACGCGACTCGTAGCTGCTTGGCATGTGTACCTTTTTATTGTCAGGAAAAGGCACTTGATTGTTATTTTTGGTGCCCCCTCTGATGTGTGAACCTGCTTCTCTATTGCTTTAGAAGGATATATCCATGTTGTTACCCAACATGCTTCCCTTAATTCATTGTACTGAAATCAGTTCATAAGTTCATTAGTGGTTCCCTAAACTAAACCTCCTTTTATTTTGCAATCAACAGGTCCCCCGGAAATGCCTATGTTGAAGGTGATGCCTCAAGTGCAAGCTATTTCTTGGCTGGTGCTGCAATTACTGGAGGGACTGTGACTGTTGAAGGTTGTGGCACCACCAGTTTGCAGGTAAAACTTTGCTGAACTACTAAATGGTTTTTACTTTGCTCTCAGAGTCACTAAATAACATAATCATCTGCAAATGACAAATATGCATACTTCGTCGAGTGTATTTCATGTATTAACTAGTTAAACAGACCAAACTAAACAGTCCTGTGAAATGCGCTCGTTATGTTGTCTCAGTTTGTTATGTTGTCTCAGTTTCCTTATTAATTTGCTGAATACCGCAGGGTGATGTGAAGTTTGCTGGGGTACTGGAGATGATGGGAGCGAAGGTTACATGGACCGAGACTAGCGTAACTGTTACTGGCCCACCACGGCAGCCATTTGGGAGGAAACACCTCAAGGCCATCGATGTCAACATGAACAAAATGCCTGATGTCGCCATGACTCTTGCTGTGGTTGCCCTCTTTGCCGATGGCCCAACAGCTATCAGAGACGGTAAAACATTCTCTACCCTACTACCATGCCTGTTCAACATGACAAGACTTCATACGGAGTAACATTCAAGGCATGGTTTTGGTTACGCTCCACTAATAGCTATTGCTCTTTGACAGTGGCGTCCTGGAGAGTAAAGGAGACCGAGAGGATGGTTGCGATCCGGACCGAGCTAACCAAGGTAAAATGACATGCTTCACAGGTCTCATGTTGTCTTTCATAGCTTGCTGCCTCTTGCGCTTGCCTGCGGTTGCTTCATCCTCAGTTGTTCTGTTTGTGTTTTCGCCAGCTGGGAGCATCTGTCGAGGAAGGCCCGGACTACTGCATCATCACACCGCCGGAGAAGCTGAACGTGACGGCGATCGACACGTACGACGACCACAGGATGGCCATGGCCCTCTCCCTTGCCGCCTGTGCCGAGGTCCCCGTCACTATCCGGGACCCTGGGTGCACCCGGAAGACCTTCCCCGACTACTTCGATGTGCTGAGCACGTTCGTCAAGAATTAAGCGGGTGGTACTACCACGCAGCGGGATTGAAGTGATCTTGCTAGGCATGTGCTGAGGAAATACTTTTTTTTTTGTTTGTTTTGTTTCTCTTAATATTAGTTTGTAGCATGTTCCTATGACACAATTCTTGAGATTGTGTATTGTACGCCAAAATTCGCTTACAGAGTGATTTTGGAATAAGAATAAATTACGTTTCAGTGTCACGGTTGCCATTACGGTAACGCTCTCCTCAGGGCGTTCGACGCTTCGGATGCGCCCTTTGTGGGCAGAGCCCAATACGAAGCCTGCTTTTGTAGCATGTTCCTATGACTCAATTCTTCGAGATTTTGTATTGTACGCCAAAATTCGCTTACAGTGATTTTGGAATAAGAATAAATTACGTTTCAGTGTCATGTTTGCCGTTACGGTAACGCCCTCCTCAGGGCGTTCGATGCTTCGGATGCGCCCTTTGTGGCAGAGCCCAATACGAAGCCTGCTCCTGGCATCTCAAAGAAAAGAAAACAATTCCATCACCTCCTCTAACTCAACCACCCACAACTGGCTGGTCCTAGCCGCGTCGAGCTCGGCACGCGTTCTCGGCCTGGAGCCACGATGTCGATCTCGAGGAACGACACGATGGCGACGGTCTCCTTGAGGATCTTGTGCTCCAGCGGCTCGGGACTCCCGCTCCCGGAGCTTCTGCGGATGAGGTCCGTGGTGGCTCGGGCGGCCTTGTAGCACGCACCAGCTGCACCTACGCGGACGACCGCGGGAAGTAGCGCGAGAATGGCCTGACCGGGGCCGCACAACCGCCCGCCCGCTGGTATCCCCCCACTCCGCGACAGCGAGCTCCGCGTTGACGAGCCTACATTCATCCAAGCAACAAGCAGATACTACGCTGAAAGCACATGTTGCAAGAGTAGGTTTTAAGTGTTTCTGATGTTTCAGAGATATGTTGCAAGTGTTGTATATTGATGTTACAAAAGTAGATCGGGATGTTGCACATGTTATATGGCTATACACGTATGTTTCAAGTGTATGTTTCAAATGTTTCATCTGTTCCAGACGTATGTTGCAAATGTTTTATTTAGATGTTGCAAAAGTAGATTTGGATGTTGCATATACAAGCGTGTTGCAAGCATATCTGCATATGTTTCAAGTGTTTCAGGTGTTCTCATACGCATGTTTGCAAGTATTTCATCTGGATGTTATATATGTTTACAATGGTTTTAAAGTGTTTTCCAGACGTTTTCCACAAGTGTTTCAGACGCTTATTTCAAATGTTTAATCTGCCTTTAGATGTATGTTCTAAGTGTTGCATCTGTATGTTTCAAAAAGTACATCGGATGTTGCATCTCTCTCCTCGCTTTTTGTTGCCCTGCCTATGTTTCCTCCTCACGGATGCGTGAAACAGCGCAAAAATGGCTACAAGCACGGGCGTCCGGACGCTAGCAAGCCCATTGCCATTATGTTTTTGGTAGGGATGAAAACGATACGGATATTTTTCAACCATATTCGAGTCCGAATCCGTTTAGAGGGGTTCAGATCTGTCCGTATCCGAGTCCGAATATTCAACATTCAATATTGTATCCGTATCCGAATACTCAAATCACATATTTATGATATCGACATCTAATCGTATCCTATTCAACATGACTGATACTATCCGTATTCGAATCCAAATCCGACTAGAAATGTAAAAACAAATATAATATCAGTTATATCCGATAAGTTTTCATCCCTAGTTTTTGGTGATGAATCAGATGACTGTCGGGCCATTCACCAGATTTCACCACATAGCATATCCCCACGTTCACTGCCCATAGCAGCACTGATAGGCCGGCGATGCTGCCTGCTTATACTGACCGGTGACCACAGTGGCTTTGCTAGCCTCACAAGAACACACAAGATAAAACCACATGAAAACCACGAAGTATTTGTAGTCAAAGAGACTACCAACACATACTCATTTAACTATTGACATCTAGAGAACCAGGCAACTCAGATTCATCTGACAAACATACTTGATACTCATTCAACTATGACATCTAGAGAAACAGGCAACTCTGATTCATCTGATAAACATACTTGATACTGATAGAGTGTAAGGCAGCAAAACATCAACAAGAATCTAGATTCATGTGAAAAGCAATGGATTAGGGGGGAGCATCCATTAACCATTTTCCATTCATGCACTAACATCCGTTGAAACAGGCTACACCCATACCATGTCGCAGAACCTCGATAAGACTGAACTCTGATGATAACTTATCGATTAGGAGGGAATTCCTCTGTTACACCAGGTTTTCTCACTAGAAACTGAATACATCCTGTTCAATTGCATTTCCAATCCTTCGAGATGATAAGATGCTGGCTACCACATTACGGGTCGCTGATAGTCACCTCAACCTCCACACCTGGTTCAATGGTGATCGAGGTGATCTGCTTGACCACGTCTGGTGTACTGATGAGATCAATCACCCTCTTGTGAATCCTCATCTCAAAGCGATCCCAGGTGTTGGTACCTGAAATAGTGAAAGACAATTATCAATAATTGTATCAAGAATAATCCATATACAAAGTGAAATCCCAAAAGAAATCCTGGCACGAGGATAACAAGAAACATCAAGAATCGAAGTTGTAGGATGAACTAACATGCTGGCATCAGTTTTAAAAAGCTCGATTTTGAGACATCAAGTATCAGTATAAACATATTGCATCATCATCTGCTCAGCATGTTGACAAAACAACAAAATTATCCTCTAAAGATTGACATAACTCCTATATCAATCTTCCAGATATAGGGCCATTTAATGCAGCAAAATGACAGGTCAAGAAATCCTAAAATTTGCATAGGATCGCAGTAGGGATCAAGGCCAACAAAATGCAGATCACATCAATAACAAGAAACTTAGAACATCACTCAAAAGTTAACTGGAAAAGTGTATTCAACTGACAACGTTTTAACAGTGAAAGCATTGAATGGGCCAACCATCAGTTTTAAAAAGCTCGAATTTGTAAGTCTTCAGAGAAAATCTCAGGATTAACTTGTTTGGCATCATATGGTTAGCCCATCAAAAAAAGCAAGCCCAACACATTAACTCAGGTGAATTAGACTGGCTGGGTGAGGTCCTAAAAGTAAGTACATGCTAGGTATTTTGCACTTAACTTTCTAGGATACAGAAGGCTCTTAAGGGTAGTATCAAGGTCATACCCAATAATAACTAAATGTCTTCATCAACTGCAGAAAACCAGGAAAGAAAGGCACTGTGTGCCCAAAATTGGTCACAATATTTCACCATCAAGTCTACTCTGGGCATAGCCTATTCCAGACTAGACACTGGATGCCAAATTTGAACCAGACCAAAATGAAAAGATTATTTATCAGCCATTATTAAACTACTCTATAATCAAACAGTAAGTAAATCAATGTTTAGCTGAAACTATGCAATAACTAGAGTGTTGTCCGCACCAAACACTATCGTAGGCCAAGCATCAGTTTTAAAAAGCTCGGTTTTAGAGACTTCAATGATGTAATATCTCAGCAGCATCTCCTATAGTTAACATCATGTGCTCAGCCTACCAATTAACCGTAAACACCAAGACCTTATCCTAAGAGAACGACACCACACAAGAGTGTTGATACACATGAATACAACATGTTCCATAAATGAAGATGAAACTTTCCCGGTGACAATATGCTAAGCATCAGTTTTAAAAAGCTCGAATTTTTTGGACATCAGAGACCCCGAAAGATCTCAGTCGATGTAGATGTTAACATCATCTGCTCAGCATACCATTCATCGCAATTCACATCTCTCAATATAAATCACAACAGGCGATTCTAGACCTACACTGATGAACGTGAGGCTGTGAGGGAAAGGAAGGAGAGGTCACCTTCACCACAGGGAGACTTCCTGGTGGTGATGTGGAGCACCTTGGTAGGCATCCGGATGGGGCCCTTGATCTTCAGATCCTTGCCCTTGGCACCCTTCACCAGATCGCCGCAGACTGCTCGAAACGCAACGCCGCAACAACGAACACGAGGTCAGTCCTTCGATTCCAACCCACTGCCGCAGCAACGATCAAAGGAAATGGTATCCACCGTCACGCAACGGAGCATGGCATAGCGGCCGTACCTTTCTCGAGGTTCTTGACGCTCCTGGAGGAGAGCGTGATGCGGATCCTGTGCTGCGGATCCATCAGGCCGGCCTCGAACCCAGCCTTGCCTGACTTCATCGGTGGCGCGTACGCCACATCCGCCGCCGCCATGGCTCGTGGGAGGAGGGGGAGCTGGGGAGGGACTGACTCGGGCGCTAGGGTTTCGCCTCGTGGGAGCCGGAGGAGAGAAGTGGCGGCGGAGAGTGCTAGGTTATGGGGCGCGCGTGGAGGCGGGGTTTATGTAGAGGCCGGGGGGTGGAGGAGAGACCCCGTGTGGCCGTTGGATGTGGCTTGAGGTGATCTGGCCGTTGGATCGGAGATTGGTGGTTGGCAGGGGTAGGGAGGTGTCAATGACAGTGGGCCCGACAAAGAGCCCCGGGCCGGCGTGTGCCGGGCCAGGCAGCCAGTCACTGGTCGAGTTCAGAATTCAGAGCCAGAGGAGCTGAATTCATTTCTTTTTGGGTGTTCGAATTTGATTTTCAATTTGAAAATAGCGCGTTTGTGTCTGTGTTTTTGTTCTGAAGACTTCTAGGAATCCAGTACACGTAAGAGTTTGTTGTTTTTCACCTCGTCGAACGGAATTGACAAGCATGCTTCAAATATGGTCCCCTGCCCTGTACTTTTTTTTCCTGAAATGAAAAAAAGGACGTTTCCATGATCCAAATATGTTGTCAAGTTCTTGCTTAAGTTATTTCCCAGTATGTAGTAACGCCAGCTGCAGCTAGTGAGTTCGGAACAATCCTCACTATTTTTCTTGAATTGTTTCTTAACAAACAGTAGCAGTATAACACCACATTGAGGTTTAGATGTGATTGGTTTATAAAACAAAGGAAAGAAAGGAGGTGTCATCAAGGCATTTGGACTACGGACTTGGTAGTGTCCGGACGTCCAATTGGGGGGTCTGGTATCGGACGGTGCCCGCACAGTGAGCGAGCGAATGCCTAGTGCGTTGGGCTTGCGAGCGAGCGCCACAGCAGTGAACGTCACCCGCGCCGCCTACTGTTTCCCACACGCATCCCATGTGCAACACCCGATTTATTTTAGAAATATCCATGTGCAACAGTTGTAACATAAGTGTCTGAAACACTTGCAAAAACACCTAAAAACACTTGAAAACCATTGCAAACATATGCAATATCTAGATTAAACACTTGCAACATACGTATGAAACACTTGAAACATATGGTTTCAACATGCATCATATGTAATATCTATATAAAATACTTGCAACATACGTCTGGAACAGATTAAACATTTGGAATATACACTTAAAACGTACGTGTATAGCCATTGCAATATGTACAGCATCTTGATCTACTTTTTGCAACATTGATATGCAACACTTGCAACATAACTCTAAAACAATAGAAACACTTGAAACATACTCTTGCAACATGCGTTTTTAGCGTCATATCTACTTGCTGCTTGGACAAATGGAGGCTCGTCAACGCGAGCTTGATGCCTGCACAGAGCTCGATGCTGCAGAGTGTCGCGGGGCAATGCTAGCGGGCAGGCGGCTGTGTGGCCCCGACAAGCAGTTGTGCGGCCACCGACGAGCTGCTGTGCGGCTTCCGGCGACGACAGGGCGGGCGGGTGCGGCCCCCACGGTGCAGGCGATGGCGCTGCCCGCGGTGAGCATCCCCCGTGTTAGGAAGGTGAGTGCGCGGCGCGGTGGAGTCGGCCCCAGAAGACGCATGCACGCGGTGAAAAGAAGGCTGTGACATGCGAGGAGGATTGGATAATCGGCATTTATTTTTTTTTGGAGAAGCTAGAAGCAGGCTCTGTATCGAGCTCCGGTGCTCCGTGGCCCAGGAAGGGCGTGTCTGGAGCATCAAGCGTCCCAAGGAGAGCATTTCGGTTTAGACTATGGATAAAATGCAGGATAATAATAGGCAAAAGGAATGAACTCAAGCTAATTCGGCAAACCTCCACATTTGTCATTTGTGCAAGCACACCCCGTGTCTATTGCACCCGGGAAACAGAGATTGAAACAAAAGAAACACAAGGCAAGAACCAAGGTCATCGTGACGTAGTTACCAATAGGCAATATTCAGCGAAATTAGTAACATGGAAGAACGGCCGGATAAAACCAAACCGCTCAAAATAGAAACCATTGTTTATCATCAGACCTTGAATCCCATTCTTCCCGCTCCAACACACGCATCATCTCCGTCCTTTATTCAGACTTTGGGCATAAGACCTCCATGCATAGTGCTCCTTTGCAGTTGGCATTAGCGACCACAAAGGAAAGAGACGACAGTGTACATACTCTTACAAGCTCTTGGCTGCCGCAATGACACTCCCCACAGTGATGTCATACTCCTTGTAGATCTTGGGTCTGTTTGACTGGTATTAAAGCCGACTAAAGCTGTTTTGTTGTGAGAAGTGTGCTAAAGTTGTTTTGTTGTGAGAAAAAAATATTGTAGATTCTAGCTGATAAGCCGGCTGATAAGTTCAAACGAACATGCCCATTTCCAGCTAAGCACTTGCACAGTCGAACCGAATTTGTCAATTGCGATAATCTTGCCCTTGGGGTCCACGTACTTCTGCCATCCGAGAGAGCACCCTGCTTCGACACTGGTGCCGTTCGGCTGGTAAGGAAACCAGCCGGAATTCACTGTTTATGGCTGAAATTCACTGTTCACGCTCTCACAGATTCCTCTAAATTTCTCCCAGCGAACAGGGCCACTGATCCTTGTGGTGACACATTCAGGGAGAACACTCTCCTTGTATTCATCCGACTGCTCCTCAAAAAGTTCCCAGCAGACAAGCGACACGACACGGGAAGTTTTCCCCTCCTTCGTCAACTCATCAGTGGCTTTGGCGGCGATCTCCAGCTCGGAACCGGTACCCAAAAAAATAAGGTCTGGCGTAGTGCCACTTGAGTTGTCGGAGATGACGTACCCACCCTTCTCAACGGGCGCCCCTAGCCACCGACCTGGGTGGCGCGCAGCCGGAAATCTTCCCTGCCGACCAGTCGGACAGGAACCCGTCGCCGACACCCCGCGCCCCGAATTCTTCCGTGAATATGAATTCTACGAGCGCGGCCCACGAGCAAATCTGGCCCATGCACCGTACGAGCGAGCGAGCAACTCCGTTCCTCGACGTCCGTCAGGTACGTAAGTTTTCTCTTCTTTTCTTTTTTATTATTTCTTATTTCTTTTTCTTTCAACGTATGTTTCTCTCTTTTTTTATTTTTGACTAGATGCCATTCAGGTATATTTTTATTTTTTTCTTTTTTCTTTTTCTTTCTTTTCATCTTTTATTCCTTTTTAATTTTTCTTTTCTTTTCTTCTATTTCTTTTTCTTTTTCTTTCTTTTTTTATTGTTTTCGGTGGTCTTTTATTATTCTTTTTGTTTCCTTTTTCTATTTTCATTTTTATCGTATGTTTTCCTTTTATTTTTTTCTTTCCTTTCATTCATTTATTTTCCTTTTCTTTTTTTCTATTTATAATTTTATGTTTTCCTCTTTTATTTACAGATACACGCGATGTTCATGTAGTATATATATAATATTCTATGATATATTTTTTGATATCTGTGAGTAGAAATATGATATTCTACAACGCATTTTGTGATGTTCAGTAAGCATGCATTGCTGTTCTAGGATTTTTTTGTGATGTTTGATAGCATTTTTCCTTCTTTTTATTTGAGTCTAATTAATTATTTCACTAATTTTATTATTTTATTTTATATTATGATATTTGTGATGTTCACGTAGTATACATATGATGTTCTATGCTATATTTAGCGATGTTCGTGTAGTCTTAATGTGATGTTCCATGATATTTTTGTGATGTTCGAGTAGTATTTTTTTATTTGACTATAATTAATTACCTCACTAATTTTATTTTTATCTTTTTTATTTTTTTACATTCATGATATATGATGTTCACGTAGTATATACATATGATGTTCTAGGCTATTTTCTGCGATGTTCGTGTAGTGTTAATGTGATGTTCGATTATTATCTTTAAATCCAGGTTCATCATGAGATAAATTTTTGTTAAATTTTTTTGAAATATATTAATGTGGGGTCTTGTTTTGAAGAGTTTATTGCAAGGCACAAAATGGTGCAATCGGATTTTAATTAGGATACTTAGTTTAGAAGTTGTCTTTTTTTACTTAAAAAAGTATAGGACATGTGTTGATGTCAGCTATTTTAGATCTACTACATGCCTATTGTCTAGTTGGCTGCCTAGAGCGTGAGCCTAAACAGCAACGCGACCCAATACAACAAAAACGGCCCATGAAAAAAATAATTGTGGGGGAGGGGGTCGGCAGGGGGCTTCCAGCCACCCGGGTCGGCACCTAGACGCCCCCGGCGCGCAGCCTCCCGCCGACCCCCTTTATTTTTTTTGTGTCACAAGCACAGCCTGGAAGTGGGCCGATTTTAGTTTGGTTACTAGGCCAGCGGTCCTGCTCACGGCCTTCCTTCGCCACGCTTTAGCTTCTGCTTGCGCCACCCTTCTCGGGACGCCGTGCCTTCTGTTGAGATTAATTAATGAGAATTAATTATTTAGTGATCAAATTATTATCTCGTCATTAGCAACTGCTAATGACGGTTCCCTCTAATGACGGTTCCCTATAGACAAAATAGATAGGCACCTTTTTCATAGAGAGACACCTTTTCACACAGTCACTAACAAGGCAACTGCCTTTGTATATATATATTACTGTTCATCAATAGAAACAGACATCGGTCATTTGTATCAACCACTTTTCCCTTAAATACGTTATCAGACACGCTTGCTCACCACTGACGCGAATAGGAGAAGGGAAATGAGAGAGTTCGTCGGAGAAGGAATCACCGGCGTCGCTGCATCCTAAGGTAGAAGATGACGACTCCTGCACCTTCCATGAATGCGATGGTCAAATCCATCACCGACGTTGTGAAGACCGCCATCGCCCACGGGAACCACGCCGAAGGCCTTCGCCGCTTCATGCTGTAGGGCGCCGTCCGTCGTGCCCTCCGGGACATCTCCAACCACCGCATCCCTCCTCGCTGCTTCCACGGAGTCCGCACTAGAGGGAGCAGTGGCCACCGTTAGTCATCGCGCCTGTCGTTCCCGCTGCAGTTCGCCCCCCGTGTCTGCACGACGCATGGCCCA